TGGGAGATGTTGCAATGAGTCTGGCAAGTGACAATGCAGTACTGAAGGGTTATTTCATCAATTCTCTGAAAATGAAACTTGGATCCAGTACTTTCCAAACACAGTACATAGCTCCCATTCATGATGAAATGATTTTAGGCCNGCCATAGTCCAGATCATTTTAAAAGGGATTGTGAAAAACACAAAATCTGGGTGAGAAAAAATAAGGAGAATGCTTTGAAAAATTTTACTCAACCTCACCAGCCTAACAGTCATGTTGCTACACGAATGGATGTGCATGTTAACAGTATAAGTGAGATTACTAATCCACATGAATCCAATCACAAAATTGGCAATCCTGTACCTCAGTTGTCAAAAAACACCTGTAACATTTCTACACAAACAAGTGAAAGTGAACTAGATCTTCTAGAAGCTGTCACTAAAACACCTAACCCAGCTGAGTGTGCAAGGAAAAAACCAATTAACAAGAGAGATCAACATTTAACACCAAAAGCTCATATTAACCAGACTGTTGCTTCAAATTCTTACGTAAAACTTAAGCTTGGAGGTTTACCAATCCATGCCCGAGTTGATACTGGGTCGGAGGTCACCATTCTCTCCACAAAAGTTTACGAAAAATTGAAAAGAAAACCATCAATATTGGGAGATGTTGCAATGAGTCTGGCAAGTGACAATGCAGTACTGAAGGGTTATTTCATTGATTCTCTGAAAATGAAACTTGGATCCAGTACTTTCCAAACACAGTACATAGCTCCATTCATGATGAAATGATTTTAGGTCATGGCGTTTTACAAAATTTGGGGGTGATCATTGATATCAAAGCTGGCACTCTTGTAGTAAGGGGTGAAATGATTAAAATGAGAGAAATTTCAAATAAAGATCAAAAACCAATTATAGCAAGGGTGGGGCTAAGTGACTGTGAAAATCATTCCAGATTTAACAGTGTGTCACATTTTGAATTTTCTTCGGGCAATTCCATCGACCAAATCAAAAAAGTGAAAGGGAGTAAAAGGATACCAGGTTTGTTTGAAGAGATACATGATAAAACCAACGTCCCAGGTAAAGATCAAAATAGAAAATCCCTCTATTCTGGCGAAAAACCTGCACCTGCTGATGACAAATTCCTGGCTGGTGAAGCTATGTCTGATAAAGTGAACATTGTCAGTTGCGCTTGTGATCACAATGACATCAGTTGTTTTGTATTAAAAGGGAAACTAGGGAGGTTTCAAGTTTCCAGAGAAATGGGCTATCCTAAAGGGAAGGGTAGATTAAATAAACTGGTGGTCATGTTGGAGGCAAAGTGGTCATTGCACGTTTTGCAAACACTTTTAAGTGCTACACATAGCTACAGAGGGACGGGACAATTGTTTAGTACTGCACAAACAAACATTTTCTCAAATGTTGGCAATTGGCCTTATGATCCTGGTGGGTTTTTGTCTGTTCTTTTTGTTGTAAGATGTCTTTGTCTGCATTGATCTTTCAGGGCTTCTGCAGCAAATTGTGATGTGTGTGGTCAGAATCAGACCTTGTGTTTGGATAATGACAATTGACACTCACAGGTGACAGGGGTCATTCTGCCAGCACAAGACGGAGCAAGTTTCTTGATTGCAATTAAATGACAGTAACACAATTTCAGCTTCAAGCTGATGCTGCTTGTGAGATTGTTTCCTTTTAGTTTAGTGTCTTTTTTATGGTCAGATGCTGGTGTGTCTAGACTTTATTGGATGCATTGTTATCTCTTCAGTCTGTTTCCGTCATTGTTATCTTATATTCCTTTAAATTCTATTTATCGTCTGACATTGGTGTGTCTGGGCTGTATCATTTGTATCTTAATATTCGTTTGTTCAAGTTACAGTCGTTGTCATTTCTTCATGTTTTGTCGCTTTTACTTCATTTTGTTAATCAAATCCATGCTCTGTTTTACCATAACCCGACTTTGACATCCCAGATTTCTTATCGATATTTGTTTGCCATTGGTCTTTTGAACAGTTAAGTTGTAATGTTTCTGCTCCAGTTGGTACACTTTCTGAAGTGAGTATTGCTGCTGCATGTTGGCAGATATTACAGTCACTGTGGTGAAGAAAAGGTATTCATGTTGATATTTTTCTGCAAATAAAGTTGGACGGTAAAGGCACTGAACAAGGCATTAAAGTTATATTGAAGTTTGGTAGCCTTGGTAACAAAAGTCATATCTATGAAGTTACTCTTGCTGGAAATTTGCAATATGGACTTTGTTCATCATCGTTGTCTTGTTAACTGTTATAAAGATCACTCTAACAAGTATTATTCTGGGTCTTCATTTAAAAAATCTTGCCTTTTGAATAGTTCTTGATCTTGGTTTATATGTTGTGCAATGAAATTCCAGTGATAGGACTTAACTTTTGGCAAGTGCAGGGATAACAATTATGAGTGACGTGAACGTTTTGGTTTATATTTGAATGCTTGTTATTCAAGTTGTATGGTATATATTGGAATCCGGAATCCTTATTACCATGTTTATAACGTGCAAGTGTCTATCTGGAATGTTTCTGGATGATCTGTAAAAAGGGGATACCGTTTGTATGTTACTGCTGGATTATAGCATTGAGGGACTAAAATTTAGATGGTTTAAGGATGTCTTAATGNCAGATATTACAGTCACTGTGGTGAAGAAAAGGTATTCTTGTTGATATTTTTCTGCAAATAAAGTTGAATGATAAAGTCACTTAACAAGGCATTACGGTTAATTGGAGTTTGGTAGCCTTGGTAACGAAAGTCATATCTTTGAAGTTGCTATTGCTGGAAATCTGCAATATGGACTTTATTCATCATCGTTGTCTTGTTAACTGTTATAAAGATCACTCTAACAAGTATTATTCTGGGTCTTCATTTAAAAAATCTTGCCTTTGTATAGTTCTTGATCTTGGTTTATACATTGTGCAATGAAATTCCAGTGATAGGACTCAACTTTTGGCAAGTGCAGAGATAACAATTATGAGTGACGTGAACGTTTTGGTTTGTATTTGAAAGCTTATTATTCAAGCTGTATGGTATATATTGGAATCCGGAATCCTTATTACCATGTTTAGTGCAAGTGTCTATCTGGAATGTTTCTGGATGATCTGTAAAAAGGGGATACCGTTTGTATGTTACTGCTGGATTAGAGCATTGAGGGACTAAAATTTAGATGGTTTAAGGATGTCTTAAGGTGAATGACAGGTGCATCTAAAGTGGTCTAATTGCTCATGCGGTAGCAGGTAACCTTAATTTCAGAAGGTTGTTTTATGAAAGTTTATATCTCTGAAAGGTGTTTCATTTCTGTTAATTACAATCTAAACCCTGGAGATTGAATGGATTTTGATTAGTTGACTGTTATCTCTGTCTGGTAGCTATATGTACATTTGGCCTTACTTTTTATTTAAAGGGGTAGGGATACTGGTTATCTCTTTATGTGTGAAGTGAACTTGGATGATGGTACTGTAAGGACATGCTGCAGCCACTGGGATAATGTCTAGTTGCATGGTTTGGTTGTAGCCAGAGAAAGAGACTAAACGGTTATCTAACCAGTGATCTTAACCTATATGGGCAACATCTGTACTGTGGTTACCGTATAGTGTAACAGATTTATATTGTTGCACTCTAAAGAACAGTGTAGGAGATTTTACATCACTACACTTAGCTCATATGTGACAGATATTATATCGTTACTGAGCTTCAATCTTTAGTGATAGATCAAGAGTGTGTGATGCGTATGTCATGCAGATAATTGTCATACGACAGATATTGGTCCTTTACTGTCTTTGACTTTATCCTCTAATGATCTTTCACTTGGATTGTAAATATTCCCAGAGTCACAGTGATGAATCAAGAGTGATGCCTGTGTGACAGTTATAATATTGTCATGCTGGAATGGCTGAAGCCATGAGACGTCATTCTCAGAATTTGTCAATTGTGTTCTCTGAATTACAGGAATCTTTTGTTTTGTTTTTGTGGATTCCTGTGTAAATAATTATTTTTGTCCATGCTGGAGTCATTTTTGTTTTTGTAGACTCAGTCTTTGTAAATATGTAAAGTAACTTTGTTCATATTGGAGTCATTTGTTTTGATTTTGTGGACTCCCTTGTAAATCTGTACATGTACCGTTTCTTTGTGTAAATATCTTTTTAACTTGTATATATTTCAAGAATTTCAGGTGAGCACCGCTGGAATTGCTAAGGAACTGCTTGAATGATTCTATCAGAAAAAGTTGAAGTAAACTCATCTCTTTCAAATAAAGAGGGGAGGAGTGTTGTGATTGTGCCGGAAGCACTCCCCGAACTACGGAGACGAGTCTAAACCACCTGGCGGGAGTGCAGTATATTAGTAGACTAAGAGCAGTTCGAGCCACGACGCGAGAGGGTGCGGACTCACCTACACACCTTTCTACTGTATATACCCACACAGTTACACAAGGAGCTTCGACCTGTGAATACGGAGAGCGGATCTGGCGACGTAGAGCAGAGCTAAATAAGGACACTTGGTGCGAGGAGAGGACACACGAGCCTCGAACGGAGGACAGATAGCTCGCATAAACACTTTAGCTACTATTTTAAAGGGCAAACAGAGCCATTTAGTACAGTTTACAACTATGATTCAGCTGGGCAAAATTCTAATTTGAAGAGGGGGACCTTTGGTGGATCAGGATCCCCCTGACATCCCCTAAATCCGCCAATGATTAGTATCAATACGTGACTTCGTTAATTTTCTCAATACCAAATACAAAACTTGATAAGTTGACCTGAGACAGACGCCTCGAACTTGGCAAATTCCTTTATCACACAAATTAAGCACATTACTTCTTCATCAGCTTACCGTTTTCTTCTACATGCCATGTTCACACAAATTCGTGATTACGCTGTGACTATTTCTAAAACCAATGCATCTACTCAGTAGACCTTCTAGCCTAATCAGGGAGAATACACATGCTGCTGAAGGAGCGGAACCGGAAATCTACTCCGCTTGGATCGGATGCAAGCGTTTTGCCATTTTCACGGCGGTTTCATCATTTTTTGCTTGTCGGTGCTTTTTTTGATGATATGGTTTTTCTAGAACACATCCAAGGTCTTATGGCACGTAAGCGGTAAAAGATGTGTTGATCTTGTACACATTTCAACTGTTCCAATATCTATGTTGAAAAGATGTGGCTTCATAAACCACTTCTGACAGAACAGCGTCACAGAATTCAATTTTGAAAATGAAACTCAAAGGCCGATGAGTATCTGAACAGCAATAATGCAATCTAAAGAGCCTCGTGGAACTCAAACCAAACTGAAACGGAGAACTCGGACCATTAATGAGTTTGACGGTGAGTGGCAAGATGGAATCTTTTTATTCCCGCGTTTTATGATGGGAAGAAATGGAGATGATTATGTTAGGTATATCAGAAAAAATTCAAACTGATCAGAAAAACATAATATCTATATCTTCTGAAGATTAATGCAAAACAGATTGCAATTCTAAAATAATTTTTAAAAATATTCCTACAAGCAACAAAGATTTTGAAGTCTTAAACTGCTATGTATATTACACCCAAAGTGCCCTCACTTGTGACCACTGACCAGCAGTGATTATGCTGCAGTCCTCTGCAGTCCTCTGCTGCAGCAGAGGACACTGTGTGTGGGGCTTTGTGTACAGAGCCTATTGTCTGGCTCAAATAGCCTGTGACCAATCAGGGCAAAGCTATATCCCTGTGGTCATAGGGTAATTTATACATCTATCTAGGTTTTTTATCTCTTTTGTAAAAAATATCAAATAAACTATACTTCGCATCGTTCAATTTTCATGGGACTTTTTCCATTAGATTGCAAATTTTGTGAAATTTTAAATGGTATAAACTACAAAAATAATGATGCAGTCCAGGACTGTCCTTACTTGAAAATTTCCAACTTTTTGAAAATTTTCGTTGTGGCAAAACTTTAAAACATTGGCTAATCAATGTTCTCAAAGATACCAACATGGGAAGGTCACGTGACCAGAATTTAACCTTTGATTGACGGCTTAGTTAGTAGGTGGGTTGTATTGGTATATTTACACAGCGCTAAAAGAGAGATTTCAAAAGGGATGTCATTCGTGACCTGTCAGCAGGCCGGTCACAGCTTTGCCCAGCACTGCAGCTGGATAGTTTCTACTCTGGCACCCTTAGCGGATTGTGATATACCTAATTATACATATTGGTCTTTTTTTTTTGCTAAACCAATGAATTTGAGAAGTGCAGATAAACAAATTGTGCCAATTTGTTAAGTTGTATCAATATATTACAATATTGATTATATAATAGTAATATATTTTACTTGTATATAACCCTATTATGTTGGGAATGAAAGTTTTCCCACATATTACCTTGCCACTGGACTCGTATAGCTGTATTGAGCTATTCAGTGACATCCGAGATTACTCAAAGTCACCACACAAATTCATTTTGAAAAGATATTGATAATCACAGAGCTATATGTTATGTGTGGGGGGTTCCTACAAAAGTGCTGAAATTTTATAATGCATGAATAAAAAAAACTAATTAGAAAAACATAAAACAGACTTTCTTCTTCTTGAAATGATCGTGCAAATGATGGCTGAACGAATTGCGGGCTAAGCTCTTATTTTCCCCCATTTTTGTGTATTTTCAGAGTCAGACTTGAATCAGGCACCCATTGCAGTGAGTCATGACACCAGTGCTGTTGCAGTACCACAGCCACATGTTCCAAACCACCTTCTAACTGTGTCTTTACTGGAGCTCATCTGCAGCATATATGAGCCAGAGCCAAGGAAAAGCTATGAGATATTCAAAGGTGCATTTTGGAGAAATTTCTCTTTTGCATTAGAATAATTTTTCGATATTTGATAATTTTGAATCATTTATGATGTGGCTGAAGTTTTGGAAACATTCATGTATGATATAGTAAATAGTGACAATAGGTTTTTAGGTACAAGATAAAACTTCTTCTGTGGTGATAGATGGCAAAAACATCCTTTGCAGTGTTAACTCATTGTTATGATTGGATGTGAGGTAGAGATTGGCTTTTAAGGGAGAAAATCGAAACGGATCAAATCTATAAATTAGAAGAAAAAAGTTCAAAATGAGTGACTGAGTATCTCCACACATCCTGTCATAATTGATGAAATTTAATATTTTGTATTTATAAGAAACATGTACTAGTAACACCTGAGTTCTTTCTTTTCTTTTTTTTCTTTTTATATTACATTTCAATATGTATTGAATGAAATATTCACAGATGGGACAGTTCTGTATCCTGTCATATCCTAAGTCATTTACAGAACTCATATATGTCTTTTTTAAAAACTGCCAGTACTGTGCAGTTACCTAGCCAGCCTGAAGGTGATGTCCCCACTTGTTTACCTGGATGAGCTTAGTATGATCCGGTCACAGTATAGAAAACAGCTGCCAAACCTACTGAGAGCTGCCAGGAGGCATGTCAACAGTGTGAGTGATGTCCAGTTATTGAAGGATTTGTACATTTTAAAGTTGTTGAAATTTTTTAAGTATTGTACTGTGTACAGTAGACCTCCTTATAATAAGTTATTTTTGACTATTATATGTGAAGTCCATTATAGGTATAATACCAGTACACTAACAGCTCTAATGGTTAATTTTGATATTTGCAGGAATTTGGTCCACCAAAGGCTTTGCCCTCCTCCAAGATGTTCCCAACAGTAAATCCTCAGGAAAGGTAAAGCAATTGCATGTATATGCACTAGTTACTACACGTGTTCACACAGACATGTACGTGTATGCAATAATGCATGCATTCTTTCATGCATGAGAATGTATGTGTGCTCACGAGGGCACACCCTTTTGCTCATGGTAACATGCTGTTGCACACACATATAAACACTTTGAAAGAAAAATTTATTATTTTTAAAAATTATAAATAACATTTCCAAACTTAGTTACATCAGTACCTAATTTTGATGAATACTCACTAGTCCCAAATATTTGAATTAAAAAAATTGAAAATATAGTCAGTTATGGTTGTCCTTGTACCATGGCAGCAATAAATAACAAATATGACTGAAAAGTTATTGTGTTGGTGGCAAACTTCAGATTGCTATAAAGGTTGAATGTTTACCAGATTCAATATTTCACTGACAGTACTTGTAAGTCTTGGTCACTTCAGTCAGTGTGTGACCCCCAGTAGAGGGGTCTTAAACTCACGAGGGTACAGGTACATTAATACATAGTAAATGATTTAGTAATAAAGTTATTAGAAATGGTATAAAACAAGATTTAAGTGCAGGGACGTGTCTGTACATGACTCGTGAGTTTGAGAATATAATTCTCAAAAATTTGATTTAGAGCAACAATCCCAAATAGGATACCTCTGAATGTAACCATCAGTTTTCATGCAGCAACTGTTTTCTTTTTAGTCTCATACGTAATGCGAGCTTTGACGATCTGATGCACATGCACACATCAAGGTACACAGAGGAGTTTGTGGAGCAGGAGAAACTGGGCAGAGGAGGGTTTGGAAGTGTATATAGGGTTAGTATGCATTGCTTATGCATCAGGGGCCAATTCCATAAAAGCATTCTAACTTAGCATGATACTAGACCTTAGAATGATTCTAAATCCCTAGTTGTATACTTGTTAGCAATCAACTAATTTCTATTCCATAAAACCAAACTAAGAATCATTCTTACTAGTTGCTTGCTAAGATTTGGCTAGAATGGTGTATTCATAGGAAAACCACAAAACCACAGGGTCAGTTACGCCAAACAAAAGGCAGTGACAGTGAAAGTTGAGCTGATTGCAGGCTGAGGGAAGTACTGGTCAAGACATTACCATGTATTCTATAAAAGCCCTATACAAAAAGGGGTCAAAATGGCAACTTCAGGGAAGAGACAACGAAAGCCCAGTTATTCAACACAAGAAAATCTCTTTATTGTGTTATTTAAAATTATTTATTTTGTGGTCACAGATAACTTGCACATTGATTGAATGATATCCTTTTCTGTTCACATAGTCAGCTTCGTAACAGTGAGGGGTGTTAATCCAAATGTGAGTACCATCAACACAACCTATCACACCTGGGAAGTGTATGTTTCTCATCCTATAGAACCCATCTTTGATGTTGGCCATATTTTGTGCATTTGGAAATTCCACATAATCCCCAATCCTTGCTGCAAGAGCATTTGATACATGATGAATTGCACGCCAAGCGGTTTGCTGGGACACTTGCAAAGGGTCCCCAACAACATATTGGAATGTGCCTGTTGCATAGTATTGCAGGGCTATCATTACCTGCTGGCATGGTAATAAGGCATGATTTCTCCTGGTTGGATGAGTTATGTCATTTTTGACAATGTCAGTTATGAGCAAAATGCCTTCTCTGGAAAATCGGTATCTTTTTACAAGTTACACATCATCAAAAATGTCCAATGGATTCCTTCTATCCCGAAACACTCGTCCCGCCGCATTGCTCTGCGGAGTTCCACTATTTCTAATATTCTCCTGGCCATCCTTACACCTCGGAGGTGTGGGTAGAAATGAATTAGAATGATACTAGTGATTTAGAAGAGACCCAGACCTACTCTAACTTTAGCATGAAACTTAGAACTATACTAGGCTTAGAATGGTTTTATGGAATAGATTTAGTAGGTAACTAGAGATAGAATGAAGTTTAGCAACCAACTAGGGCTTAGAATGGTTTTATGGAATTGGCCCCAGGTCTATAGCCAAAAATTTCAACTGGAGGTGGGGGGGGGGGGTTGGTTGAAAAGTGATCCATGTGGCTGCAGAACTGACACATGCTTCAATTTTCAATTCTGTCATGATAGAACCTATGGTGTTGAAATTAAATTGATCACCTTATCTCCTAACCACAAAAACCAAGCTTAACCTCATTGATTTCAATGGATGAGCAACCAAAACCTGGGCAGAATATTGACTCAGAGTGGACCATTTCCTAGTTATAAGTTTACTTGGACCAACCCAAAGCCCCCTTGCCTGTAGGCCTGTGTAGTGTTACATAACCCTATTCTCACAAGTACATTACATTATTGGGCATTGAATTAAAGAATAATATATACACGCACACATTTTCTTGAGTTAATTTCTGGACTAAAAATATTACATGTGTGTTTTATGTACTTGAGGCTGATGTTAGAATTCAAATAAATTTTGTAGACACATTGTGTATAATTTGTTAGTAAGATATTAATTATGATTTATACTTAAACTTTATTTTTGCTGTACTGCAGGTCAAGCACAAGTTAGATGGGTGTGAGTATGCAGTGAAGAAAATTAGATTGAAACCCAATCAGCCAGAGGGGTGGGTGAAGGTGAGTTGTAACATCTCAAATTTTTCACTGTGATAAAGAAAAGTGGCCAGTATACAATGAATAGCCTGAACTGATGTGTACCAGCTTCTTCATTTTGAAATCTCTTTGTGTGCATGACATCCAGGAGAGTTTTGCCATGATCAAATTTTCACAAATGCTTATTTGATTTTTTTCCAATTCTATTCCTGTGTTAAAGGGTAGTATGGATGAGTTTCCACTTGGCTCTGGTAGCCGGGTTGCTGCTCTTTTACAGTACAGCAAATGTGACTCATAAAGATTTTATTTTTTGAAATAGTATATCACTTGTTTTGTAGTTAGAAACATCAGTTACCTTGCAGTGTTCGTTTACAGATTCTCAGAGAGGTGAAAGTTTTAGCCAACTTAAGTCACCAGTACATAGTGGGCTATAATGCTGCCTGGCTGGAACAGACCCCCACAATGTCAGCCAAACCACCCCAGGGTCCTTTACCAAGCACACCAATCAGAGATCTGGATGAGTAAGTGTTTTTTTTTCTTTTTGTATTCTCTATTATGTGATTAAAATTGCTTTTGATATCAGCAATATTATATTTAGAGCTGTTGCTGTAGATCAAGAATTGAAAATGTGAAAACCCTGTATTAATTATGCTTTCTTTGTGAAATATAGTTTGAAAATTTTGATTTCCACAGTAGCAAATCAGATAAAGATGTGAATTAAATTTACTCTCAGTTGACAACCCAAATTGGAATTGTGAAGGAGCTAGCTATTTATTATTCCACTTTCAAGTATGTCCGATTCAGAAGAAAGCAGCGACAGTAATAACTTTGACCAAGAATCTTTCTCAGCCTCGCCCCAGGATGCAGACCCTGGAGGTTATGGGGAGGAGTACAGTGGAACAAGTATTGTGTTTGAAGACAGCATCAAGGTCACCTCAATGCAAGAGGAGAACCTTAAAATTGAGACTAACACTGAGACATCAATGCGCAGACAAGTTACCACTAAACTAAAATATAAATACTCAAGGAGTCCAAATAAAACAACTGAGACTAGCAAAAAAGTGGAGTCTGTAAAGTGCAGAAGTCTCCTACCTTATAGTCCTTTGGTTCCAAATTTGAATGCTTTATTTGTACCAGAAATGCAAAGATTAGTTGAGAGAACCAAGCATATGACTGTAGACTCTCATGAAGAGGATGATGCTGTATTCTTGTCCACTGATCCTACAAGTTCTTCCACAAACGCAGAGAGCAATGAACCCAGATTAAAGAACTGGAGTGCTAATAAAACTCTCGGGACTTTTCCCGTTGGAGCTATGGCTGATATACCCAGCAGTAGAACTAAAAGATTATGGCAGCGGCACCATCTTCCCAGGAGGAGCCAAAGCCATGAGCCATCTCTAGCAGGGGATGGGTTGATAGACAGTGAGATACACAGTATTATGCACACTGCAGTGCCCTGTGAAACTTTTGTGACAAATAAAGTGACTCTGTATATCCAGATGCAGCTCTGCTCCCACACACTGGGGGAGTGGCTCAGTGAGAGGAACGGTTGTTTACAGGCTGGACAGGGTAGGACTGTGGTGATTTGAATTAAACATATAATATAATATAAATGTTTTTATGCACACACACATACATGTGCACTCACAGACACGCATTTATGCATCCAATATATATACAAAACTGGACTAGGTGACAGAAAGGTTCCAACAACCTTGCATAAAAAATCGAGAATTGGGTGAAAAGATTTTGTGCAGTAAAGTAAATATGTAACTTTTATTTTCAGACTGATGATCTAAAAACCCTCTACATTTGCTCTTTTTTTTTTGTTTTCAGATCCATTCTCTGTTGTGGAGGTGGAGGAACTGATGTGGATTGCCAAGCAGATATTTAAAGGGGCGGAGTACATACATTCACAGGGATTAATACACAGAGACCTCAAGGTGTGTTTTAGATTCTTTATATGTACATACCTGTTGCCAGCAATTCCAAAAAAAGGGAATTTTTTTTAAATATAAATTTTGATTCTGACTGAACCCTTGGACATCCCCCCCCAATTCCTTGATATTTCTAGCCACCCTAGAATTCAGTGGTTACTGGAGACTTGCATGCATTAGCAGTCACCTCTGAAACTCAGAGTGCTTAGCATTATTTTCTTGATAAATCATTGTCAACCTTCATCACTCAAGACAGGTTCTCCTGCAGGCTCCCCAGCTATGACTGAACCAACTTGAATATGAAAGACCTGTGTCTCTGTCAACATGACTTGGCCAGCTTTTCTTACTTTTCTTGATTGAAAACTTTCACTACCATCATATATTTTAGTTATTATTTATGACCATATCTTTTCATATGAATTGTTTTAGCCAAGGAATATATTCCTCCATGGGGACAAGCTTCAGGTGAAGATTGGAGACTTTGGTTTGACGAGGGAAGATATCCTACTGGAGAGCCCTACCATGTTCCCACTCAGTCCTTTTGGAAAAAATACAAGTGAGAGAAAAATATTTCTTATATTTTATCTCTTTGCATCTAAAAGTATACAGTAAAACACCAAATTGACTGACCTAATGTTCATACAGTGGACTTAATTTTTAATTTTTGATGGTAAATTTAAGTGAAAATTCATCTAGAATATAAATAAAAGTGAAGAAATTGGTTTTTAAACCTGATGATCCAATGATCAGCCAGCAATTTATGCCTGGTCCGTATGGATTTGTCTGGTCATAAATAGATTTCACCTCCATGCAGAGTATAAAACTTAAGCTGCTACATGTGTGGGGCTATGAATTATTATTAACAAGTGCCAGACTTATTACCATCCCCTGGTCTCTCCACAATATGACTCTAATTTGAAAAAGTTAAAAAAATTTATATTTTGTTTGTTTGACCAACACTTGACCAATAATTACTAGAAATGTAAAATATGACTTATATAATTGGCTTGGAATTGAAGGGAATGGTTTTTAACAAAGTGGTAAAATTATGCATGTAGTGAAAAATTCAATAAAATCAATTCTGGTATTATTTTTAAAAAATAAAATAAAATAAAAATGATTTGAACACTGTGTTTGATTTTAGTGTCAGCTGCATGGAGTTCCAGCAATGAGACCCCGTACACCTCAGGGATAGGTACCAGTATTTATGCTGCACCTGAGCAACTAGCTGGATCATGTTATGATAGCAAGGTGAGTATTTACACTGGGGCAATGGACCTCAACCTGCCACAGGGTGGAGTGGACTTTGAGTAGTCAATAAAAACTAGATTTTTTCTTCACGTAAGCTTGAGCCTTTTTATTTTTCATAGTTCCCAAGGTGACTTTTTGAACATGAATTGCATCTGTGAACCCTAAGAAAGTGAATGAAAACCAGGAAAATTTCTGAATTCATTATTGTTCAGTATATGTGTGCACAAGAATGATTATGGTCTCATAGAGTATGCATCATAAAAAAATCCAATTCTTAAGCTTAATAATTAGTGTTGTTGGTTTCTCATCTTGATTTATCAATCGCATTTAATTGATATTTTGAAATTAAAATATAAATAGATCACGGAGGTTGAAGTGTCGAATGGAATTCAAGATTAGTGGAGGGTATATTGGAAAAAAGAAATATTAAGAATGTGTAGAATTGATTAGATATCACCACCAATCTTATTTTAGAGTGACATGTACAGCCTAGGTGTGATATTGTTTGAACTGTTTCATCCATTTGGGACAGAGATGGAGAGAATACAGTGTCTGATGGCTCTGAAAGGTGGCAGCACTGAAGTCATTCCCCAGGTGATCAGGACAAACTGGCCAATCATTGTGAGTATTGATAACTAATATTATGGGATGCATGGAAGTACTAGTGTAGCAGAAGTAGAATTTAAAATTGAGTTGGCCAGTCTAGACATTAATTTGTTTTGTACATTTATTACTCCATTTCACCATGTAATCGATTCAAATTTGGTAATCTTAAAAATATTTTCAAAATCAAACTGTGAATTGTGATTTATTTAGGTATGCCAACAAATCATTTCATCACTTTTCTGAAACATAATTAATTTCAATTTTGTAGATTATGGACTTTTATAAATGCATATGTTTGAATTTGTTTACTTTAGGCTCAAACAATAGATCTGCTGACAAACCCGGCTCCTGTCAGGCGCCCATCTGCCACTGATGTACTGCAGAGCGAACTTTTCCTGAGCAAAGATCAGATTATCAAGTCACTGAGGAATACAATCACAAAGCAAATTGACGAGATTGCAAATCTTAAAGATAAACTAGCTGAGAAAGAAGCATTGCTGGAAGCTTTGCAGATTGATATACAGTCACCAGTTGTATAAGAAATACTATGGATACTATTTGTGTTGGTGTACAATTGCTTGTCTATCAGATAAAAATATTTCATTCATTTGACTACTACTTATTTTAACTTGGGGGTCAAATTAAAAATCTTGGCCAGAAACCTTACACCAACTTTCAATATTTTAGAAGATGTTGTGTGAAACAGGGGCTAGACCTTTTACTTATAGTTGGGCTATGCTTATCTTGAGGGTTTTTGGATGGATAATAAGCTCCAGATTTAGGGCATTTGTTATCCTCAAGCAGTCCTAGGTACAAAATGGAAACTGGTACTGCTGACATGATTGCTTGCAGGGGCGGATTTAGGACATCTTCTGGGTCTTCTGGAAGTCTGTCAGATTTTCAAGTTTATATCGGGTATCTTATTTCTTCTCGTGGAAGACAGTCAAAAATGGGGACGGATTTTATAATTTGGAAGACTGTTAGAAAATATATCTGGATCCGCCCCTGGCTAGATAGTTTTGAGTGTCCGATTAAGTGAGACAGTATTAAATTTAGTTCCAAGTAAAATGACTAAGAATTAAACATGTTTTTCAGAAGATGATGAATGGTATCTTATAAGGTTACATGGTATCCAACAGATCTGAGCAAGGGTATGGAAATCATTGCAGTGCACAGGTGAAAGTGCTCATGGTTTCGTACATATTTCTGTTTAAGTGTGAAAGTTCACAGTGTTTTCTACTGCTTTTGTGATGTTTGTTTCAAAGAGGACAAAAACGTTTTATTGGTTTCTTAGGGCATTATACGTACCCTGTTTGTGATTTTTACCCTGTTATGTTTTGCTGTCAATAAATGAAATTTGAAAGAAAAACTGGGTCAGAATTGTTTTATTTAATAATGGAAGTTAACCAGTGATTCCTGTTGCTGTACACGATGTTAGAAATAAAATATCAAAATCTCTGATCCCTACTGAAGCATGTGACTTGATGAAATGGAAGATGCCAAGTAGTCTAAAGTGCACAAGTATACTATTGTTTATATTTTTGCTACAAGGAAATTATTTAGTGCACTTTGCGGTTTAAAAAATAATAGTTTTTTTTGTTTTTGAATTGATTACACAGGATTGTTATAACTGTGAATGCTGCAGCCATAATGTCAGTTCAACTCGGGGAGGAAACTGGCACTTATCAGTATTGCTTCTTGAAGGAGGGGATGATACTAGTAGAAAAGTTGTATGTTTCTTTAAAATGATATGGATGTTGGGTGAATGAGTCCTAAAATGTAGTTTAAGCTTTAACTTTAACATGTTTATACTGAATTTGTTCATGGCCTGGGACCCATTTTACGTAGGATAACTAACGACAACTGCTTGACAAACAAGATGTTTCTTGTAAACTGTAACTAGGATGCAAGTCAGCTACAACTGTCAAATGTGCAGATAACTCATCTTCATTTTTAACCTTTACATTGGTGAGGCATGGATGGTAGTTATGGAAATCATGGGAGAACAGGGTCCTGTTGGTTAGTACAGGCTAGGGTTACACAAAAGTATTGGTTTAAGGAAGGAATGTCAATTGTTTAAGTAATACCCCTATCACACTTACCTGAAATCAAGAGGCTGAAGGAATCAAGCAGAAAGCTGGGATGAGCAATATTCAAAATTTGTGCCACATTCAGGATTTTTAATTGACCTTATATCCAAGTCACATGAGATGGAATGAGTTGGAGTGCTATAATGATGATATTCCTGGATATTTTAAATTTATCTGAATTTAAATTGACTCAAATATTTCAGTAATCCTTCAATGCCTCTGAATGCTTCAAATGCTAGTGGAATATAATGGGAATATTTAAAATGCAGTAGGAATACACTTCGAATGTCATTCAATATTTTGCACTTAATGTGCACCTGGAAATTTTTTAGTATGAGCAAAACATTTGCACTGACCATAACAATGGGGCAAATTACTGGTAGTGCACTCAGAAACCTGAGAATGCTTGGGAAAATATGTGTTGAAAGAATACAATGCCTCTATTATTCCCTCACAATACTAATGGCCTCCGTCATATGCAACCTAATATTCAGATTACCCAGTGCACACATTAAATGAGGTATAAAATGATGGTACACATTGCACTTTTTGACTACTTAAAGTTGTGTTTTAAAATTAAGTCCAATCTGCATATTACCAGTTTTCATGCATTTGTTATGTTATACCACTTTTGTCAGGTCTGTCCATTGGTTAAACAGAATCATCATGGCATAACTGCACTTTTTAAAACATTAATTCTAAGTAATTTGATTTCGTGGTCACAGTGTTGTAAAACAAAGACAACATCACACAGAAGCATTACATTTATTTAAAAAAAAAGTTCACAGCGTGATTACATCAGGTTAAATAAAATGAAAAATGTAAAACACACCTCTATACCAATGTTGCTAAAAGTAGGAAGTGCCCAAACAGCCAGCTATAAATATTTAAGTTATGACAAACTGCGACTACACTACTTCTGTCGATGATCATGGCTACTTGACACATTTTTTTACATAACCACATGCATATAATTGTTTTCAAAAGCTGGCAATACTAGGTATCAAAGATAACAAGTTATATGTGCATTGACTAAAAAAAAAATTATTCAAAGGAACAGAAAAAAAGACTAGGTTAGTTGAATAGTAAAAGAAAAATTAAAATTAAAAAAAATCAAATTAATCAAATTTCATAGAAAACATGACAAATTATTTTTGAAAAAAAAAAATCATATTGTGCAACAGTGAACGTCCTACTGGTTATGAATTTCTATTCATTAAAAAAACGATATATGATTCAACATTTAATCATTACCTGCCCAGAAAATGCCAAATGGACATGGTGATTAGAATGCACAGAGGGTGACATAAGTATTGCACCCCCTGTGTGAATAGTGCTCTATGTGACATGGGGGACCTGTTTGTTCAACAAGTTTTTTTTTGGTTTAATGCTTGCTTTACCAGTGATGAGTTTTCATCCATGTGTACTATGAAAGGTGCCTCTAACTGGTTCTGCTAACTGTCACGTTGCCATCATGATGTAGGTACGGGAGATCACAAATGAAAGAAATGAAACTGTTTCTCTGAGGGAGGAGGTTATCAATGTTACCCAGTTAGCTTCCAGATATGGTGTATCTCATCAGCCTGTGTATAGGGTTTACAGAAGGATGGAGGACACTGGTGATGCCCATAAATTACATCGAAGTCGCAGCCCAAGGATGACTAATACCAGAGACGACAGGGGCCTTTTTATGCTGTCAAGGCTTAGGAGGTTTAAGCCCTGCAGGGAATTAACATTGCAATGGTCGCGCAGTTTGCAGGTTGTAATTAGCACAATAACTGTACAAAGAAGGCTCCATGCTTCAGGTTTTCACAGCAGGATTGACAGGAGGTAGCCACCCATCACTTGGTAAACAGATGCAGAGGAGTGACATGGGCTACAAGAACCATTGCCCGGACAGAGGCATCTCGATAGTCTGAAGGTTCGTAGGTCTGATAAATCTTATTGGACAGGAACCCCCTTACATATTTCAAGATGATAACACTACACCACACAGGGCCAGGGCAGTGCAAGAGTGGTATCAATAGGGTGGACTGGCCTGCCCAATCATCAGATGCAAAACCCCATTGAAAACCTGTGGCAAGATATTGGAAATCAAGTGGCAAAGGATCTCCCCTTTACCAGAAATGCTCTAGCTAATCCAAAGTGTCTTCAGAGCCTGGGCCAACATATCCCCCTCAAAATTCATTAATCTTTATCAGTCTATGTCTAGAAAGAAGGTGTCCATATTGAGATTGTGTTGCTATCCACAATATTCTGGAAATTAATTATGACGGAATCTTTTGTGGGTTTCTTCTGCAAGAAATCTCTCTATTTGGCTTGCTGTTGGTCTTTCAGATGGTGTGGGGGAAAGCAGCTTTCCTAACTTCTCGCACCACATGGACGGCGGCGGTGTAAAACCCTTAAGGATAATAAGTGATGTCCAGTCAAGCTGGAAATTAAAGTCAAATGTTAAAGCCCCTTTCTCACAATATGAAGTATATGTATTCACAACAGGGAAAAGTGTTAAATCTTAATGGTTTACAATCTCTCCCGTTTAATTGTTTTTTGTTTGAGTTTAGTCAAAGTTTTTGAGAGCAGATCAGTATTCGGTTTAAACTGGTGTTATAGGGAGATTAAGGAGGGTAAATCTGTTTTTTGAAACCCAGATATTTAAATCACGTGTGAAAGTTGAAGACACTGAAAATCCTGAAAACGTAACTTGCAATTTCTTAGCGCTTACTTCTCATCCTTATTTAGACCATATGAAATAATCTATCAAATGAAAACCAAAAATCCCGAAATCAGGTATATTCCTAGAAACTTTCACTCATGTAATATAAATGGCTACATTTATGTTAATCACCGTGGGCTTCAGAATACGTACAATTTACCATCTCTACCAATGCCCACCAAATAAATGTGTAAAAGTTATTTGCAGTAGTTCCTGATTCTTAAACTCGAGTGAGACCAATTTCCCCTTTTGTCAAATGAATTTTATGATGAAATATGCCAGAGACGATATACTTCTCTGAAGCATATTCAGTGCGCACCGATTTAACAGTAACTCATTCAATGAAGTATAACTCACCTTCAAAAAATCTGATATATTTTCGAAGTTCTCAAAGCAAGGCAGATTGTAGGCACGTTTCCCATACCACATTTCCCAAAGCATGACCCCAATTGCAAACATATCTGATGGTGCTCCGTACTTTTCCTTCTTCAGAATTTCTGGTGCCATGTAAACCAGTGTTCCACATAGTGTACCAGTGATGTCACACTGCGGTTTTGTCAGTCCCACATCAGCAAGTCGAACTTCATCTCTATCAGTTACCTGATGGCATCAAAGGAGTATTTGAAAAAGCGCATAGCATCATAAATTGGTTATGTACACAAATGTTTCGTATTTGGATAATCACATTTGTACTGAACGGCAGCAAAGCGTTATACACAAAGTATTGAGTCAATACAGAAATTAAACAATACTATGAAGAAGTATATGTAGTATATGAAATGCTATTCATTTATAGCTGATAAGGTCTGAGTCACTAAAACTTGCATCTTAGGAATATCTTATCCATCCAACTTCAGACTTACCAATATGTTTTCCGGTTTCAAGTCTCTGTGAATGTATCCTTGAGCATGCATGCCTCGTAATCCAGTGCATATTTGCATACCAAAGTAAGCAACAGAACGCACGAGTCCAGGATCTAATGGTTGCTTCAAACCAGGGTTTTTGATCTCTCGTTGTCCTTTGGGACTTGTCGCATCTGCATTCAACATACGATTTGCAAGGGTTTTGGGGCAATACTCCATTAGAATGACAAGGCGCCTGTTACCATCTGGCTCTATGATGGCGCTGGTTCCTATGAACTTGATGATGTTTGGGGTTCTATTAAGTCTCCTGTATCAACAAAATAGTCAAACTGATCATGCCAATCTACGTATCAAATGTAGCAAAATTATTTCCTCTTTACCGCATTAACAGACAAAATGAATGTTAATATATCCACCCGTTTCTAAACTAGTACCGCATTAAAAGACATTTTTCGCCACTAGTCAAATAATCAAATAAGATCTAAGATGCAAAATCTAAGCATCTATCCTAATCTGGAAATCTCACCTTAAACTTTCCTCTTCTAGTATAGCCTCATCCACGTTCTCTGCTGTTGCAAACTGCTTCATCACCTTTGCCGCTGCTTTCATGTTGTTTCTTGATAGAAGTTTCACGGTATAAACTTCACCAAACGTGCCAGTGGCAAAAGCAGGCAAGATCCAATATATTTCTGTGTTTGCGTTGATGTCTTCCCGGATTTTTGTCACGTACAACAAACCTAGGCCTCCCTCTAAAGCATCATTCCACTGGAGCTTTTTCTGATACAGTTGCAACTCCGCTGTCTGACTTTCACTTAGCAACCCTTTTATGAGCTGAAGGTCATCATCTAGTAGTTTTGGAATAGCACTGAGTAGGTTATTCAGTGTGGCAACCGCAGAGTTCAAGTAACGCATAACCTCTTTCGACAGGTTTTCTTCGGACATAAAATGTTCGAGTACTTTTTCTGCAATAGTTTCCATGACTGCTGCTTTGTGTTTTGTATAGTCTTTGATTTGTTTCTTCTCGTTCAGACGATCTTTTAGTGCCACCCCAAGGGCAACAGGGACAACGAAAAGTGCAGCTACGAGGCCTATTGGAATCCAAATTGGAGAAGTGACGCCAATGATGACTTTCTCAGTGGTGGTGAAAGTAGAAGTGTCCTCCACGTCTCTTAAGCCTGTGGGGTTTGCATCCTCGACAACAAGCATGTTGTTGCTGGTTAACTGACCTTCCAAAAGAGCAACTTGGTTCTCCATGATGTTGAACTCTATGTGGAACTTTCCTATAAGCTCCTTCTGTGCATTTGTGAAGAACTCAGTGTTTGTGTTCCATTCTTCAAGAAGTTCACGGATTCGCCCGAGGATGAGGGTTCTAGCTTGTGTGTAAAGATCATCCCAATGGTCAGTTGGCTTTGGACAATCGCCATCTTTCCATTTAAGGACACGCTCGTTATTCTTATTCAGGTAATCTTTGATTTGTCGTGCAGCTTGTTGAGCCTTTGTCTTTAAAAGTCCTAGCAATTTAAAACGTTTCCCTTCAAAACTGTTCTTTATTTTTCCAATCTGTCGCATGATTTCAGCAGCTTTCTTCTTACGTTCTTCCTCAGATCTTTCAAAGATGCTCAAAGCTGACTTTAGATGAAACGCAGATCTTCGCAGAATGTGAACTACTAATCTAAATTGGGGTTAAAAAAATCCTGGTAAAAAGGTTATTGATATTATGTAATAAAATAAAACGTACAGAGTTCATACATGCTCATCCTGTATAAACCGTTCACTAAATGAAGTACATAAACAGTTCTCTGAATGATATATTTCATGGTGACCATAACAAAGGAAACAGTCAAATGAACATTTTGTTACCTGTATTTAGTCTCCTGATTTGATTTTAGGGTCTTAGGAAAAAGTTTCTTCAGCCCAACAAGGAATTTTGACAACTCGGGTGTCGCACAGCCCTGTTTTAGTGCACTTTGTGCCTGATGTATGCATAATGAATTATGAAAAGATAAGAAAATAGAAAATAGAAAAGCTATTATCACAAAAACACCTTTCGGGAATATTTTAAAGCATTTCAAGAGACGTTTTGTAGTAGGCCTACCAGATATATTAAAAAGCATTTTGATCAAACATTTCGTAGAAAGGTTTTCAATTAATCAAATATTATCAGAATTGTTTGGCTTCAGAAATATCTCAGAAAAAAGATAAAATCACTACAGTTATGAAATATAGGGATAAGGTCTGTAACGGTCTATTTTCGAACTTGACCTGAACTTCACAGCTATAAACATGCTCCGGGCAATGCAGATCCTGCAGTTAAAACTTAAGTGATCGCGCCTCGAGGAAGATTAGAATTTCTCTATACTTCCAAGATAATGGTTCGATTGGAACCATTTTGGGATAAGTTCTGCATTTTACAACATCAAAAAAGTTGAAGGAGATGAAAGGGGGATACAGAATTGTAAAACCATATGTTATGCCGTCCCGAAAACCAAAGTGCACGGTTTGAAGTTCTCTTGCTTAAAATGATGGAATATACCAACAGGATATTGCATCTGCGCCTTCAATAAGTTCAAACTAAATTCAAATATGAAGTATAATTCAACCAGGTTTAGTTTAGTATTATTTCATGTTCTGCTTGGGGTTTGTTTTTGTTTGTGTTTATCCTGGCGAACAATTATAAAAATGTGAAATTACCGGCAATTTATAGTGAGGGCATATGCCATGTTCAAAGAAGCCTGGATTGGGGAAGAATAAAAAAGACAGTGCTGTAGAATAAACAATCTAATGACACAGAATTTCCGCGTTTTCAACACGAACCCAGATGGCGTCATCTATTTTGAAACAAACAGTGTCTACTGTTGAGCTATGTCCGAATCAGGAAGCCTGTAATGGATTTACATGCACTAGGTATAGAACGTCCAATAAAGTGAAAAAGCTCACCTTTGTCACCGACATAGGGAAAAGCTGATCTGCAGTAAAACCATCACAGATGTTTTGCAGTTTGCGAAGAGTGTCTTTGAAAACATCATCTTTCTCTTTTTCTGGCACCTGGTCCCATTTGTTAAGAACAAAGATGGCCGTTGAAGGATTGAACAGACGAACTCCAGAAGCAAGTTTTTCTGTGCCACTATTTTTGTCTTCTGTCTCGAATTTACCCCTCACTACATCACTAAGGAGATCTTGAAGCTACAAAGAAGAGAAAACGCATCTATACTTATCTACTTACTAACCACTGGAATTAACAGAATATTTGCACTGGCGTCTTGTCCTGCCAGATCAAAAGAACCACTAATTACTCTCGCCTCAAAGCTACTGTATTAGAACTGTTCGAATGACATTCATATTTCACAATTAATACATTGTAAACAACTCAGAAAAAATAAAATAAATTCAATTTTATCACCAAAAAGAGGTTAACACAATTATTCTTGAATTTGTGCCTGCCATCAGACCACGTGGATCTTGTAAGATGGCTATACCTCAGCAATAATCTCTTAAGAGATTAGTAAAAAAACAAACAAACAAACAAAAAAAAACAAAAAAAAAACAAAAAAAAAAAACAAAAAAATGGACTTAAGTTGTATGTCTGAATGGGTTCATTAACCATTGGTTAAAAAAATCAGCTTTTGTCTCAGGAAAATCAAAACAAACAATTATTATCCCTTTCACCTCCAAAGGGAGTTATGCGAAGATGTGAGAAAAGGGACAAGCGGTGGGTTTCGCCTTTCTCTTCTTTCAAAGTTTTAATCTTTGCAGACATTAAATTAGCACAAAACTTGTTGAATTCTACAACTGATCTGGACGCTGCCCAGTCATACTTATCTCTTAAAAGTAAAATAATGAAGAGATATTCTTATTTATCTAAACCAACGATATCACTTACTTCCTAACTTACATGTACTTACTTAACAACTTCATCGCATGAAGGACATAAGTTTGCAACCATACCGTGCTACTGAGCATTATTCATCAACATAAAATGTTTGAGAAAAGAGGTGAAAATTGCAACAAGCGTTACCCTATCTTCTTGCACCCCTCCGGCCACCATGCTGTTGATGACGTAGATGAAGGAAAATGCCTTGGCCAAGTAACTCTTTGTAAGTTTTGTCATCATTTCACTCTCTCCTATACCAGGGCTGTCCATTATGTAGACACCTCCCTGTAAAAAAATTTCTTCAGATGTCCGTAATATCAAAAAATTTCACATTTGTTAATAAATTGCGGAACTTCATTGAGCATTCATTTTGCAACCGAAGAGATGCTTGTGTCGATTCTTTTTACGACCACAGCGATGCCATGGCTAGTATCATGGTCGCACAAAGAACGCAGAAAGGACGTCGCCCAGTGTAAAGGAGTTTTAAGAAATGCTAAATATCATTGAAATTTGTCTTCTTTCATTCTACTGATAAACAGTAAGAAGGAAATATTTTATGAAAATCTTTATTTTCAGAGATACTGTATGTGTGTAAAATGATTCATACTTTTGAAGTAACTAATTTAACGATTTGTCACAATTTGTGAAATATGTGTCATAAAACATTGGTGAGAGCCTCCAGGTCTCCCAAAATTTGTCAATACGTAGCTTTTGTTACCTGTAACAGAGGGATAGGCCAAAATAACTGGACTCTGTTGTATGGAAATTCCTTCTTCCCTCGTCCTTCTTCCTGGAATATGTAAGGCTTCAAAACCTTAAGAGGATCTGGCACTTCCAGGTCCAAGGTAACAGGTTGTATACTGGTGTCCCAGAAATGTGCAACAGCCCTCCTTTGGTCACCGTACCTTAATTCACACAGCACGGCGGTACAACTGAAGAAATCCGTTGGAAGAAGATCTTCCCCAAGGAGTAGATTCAACAGACAACTCTTGCCAGCACCGGTCTCACCTGAATTATATATGAATGAAATATGGCAAATACTGAAATGCTATAGCAAAGAGTCCGATTATTATGCAAAATCAATATTAATGCATGATCGCGAATTTACACAGTCGTGTGCTAATGTAAACAAATGCCAGTTGACGTACAGATCGTAGGAGAATGGGCTGGCATACCTAAAAAGCAGAATATCGCAAGTCATGGCACAAGTCAACGAACTGATTTTTTTTCATATAGACTTCATATAGTTAAAACCTAAATTTAAGATGTTTTAGATTAAAAATACATGTAGGCCTACAGTTGTCTCATCATGGCAGGGCTAAGTCTAACTCTCGACTAAGAACTTGACAATTAAAGGGGCCACTATGGCAGATACTGTTCTGATCAATCATGTTTAAAAGCTTAAAGCCCTCTTTAATCATTCAGATATACCTGCTACTAAAATCCCACTTTCGCTTTTAGAGAGTTCGTCAATGCTTTCACGTAATCTTTCTACCACTCGCGGAATGTTTTGATTTAGGTCATCACGTCTTTTTTCTGGTAAACCAGATATATACTCAATCGTGCCTCTGTATAATTGCTGAAGCTGTTGTCTTGTCTCTTTATCTTCCTCCAAGGCATCTGCCATTAGTTCAGCGGCCTGAAATGAAAAATAAAGCGACCATTTACAAAATTTGACTTCCACTCAGGTTTAGGATGGAAGTCCACTTTTTAGAAATATTTTGACTGCGAACGGGCTCTAAATATCCACTGCGTTTGTCTTCTCATTTAGATTTTGTTATGAATTAAAAGTAATATATAGCATATGTTAAGTCGTAGGCCTGATTAAATCTATAAAAAGCGAAGTGGGAACGGATGTCAGGAATTATTACCTACAGCATTTTAAACTTACATTCAGTGGGTCCTCAGCCACACCTACACCATGTAGTTTCAAGAATTTTCTCAATCTGAGGACTACGTCGTCCTTGTTCTTCACACCAGCGTGGTCTATCCCTAACTCTCGTAACTTCTTTATGCCTTCTTTCAAATTGGATATAGCATCTATTTCAGCTAACGAAATTGGGGGTGAGTATTGGCCAGCCATTTTTTCTTTAGGAATGCAAAAAAGAAATAAAAATAATATTTTGTTATCTCTCTTAAACAAACATGTTCATATATGAAGGAAAGACAATTTTTGGTTTTTCTGACTAATATTCATTTAAACCTAAAGATATATTCGCATGATCAGTGATGTTTAAAATTATTTAAATACAATAAATGCATAAAGTGTATGTAAAAATATTAAAACACCTCTATCGGTAAAAAATATTTTAATAATAATAAAAATAACAATAATAATCATAATAATAATAATAATATGTATTTATTTGCAACTTAAAAAGTTGGATTTTACAATAAAAAAAACAAATAGTGGTGAGATGCACAATCTTAAAATATACTTGTAAGTGTTAAAATGATTCGATACACATTTACAGTTCATAAAAATCTCAGTTCTTAAAATTTGATAAAGCCTATGGGATAAAAGTTTTTGACGATCGGACAGTCCTCATTTTGGCACAGTGTACTTATAAACCCGGCGCAAAGTATAGGGACTTGTTATTACTTGTATATATGCAACAGAGGTAACTATCCAGTCTGTTGGAATTTTTTCCGACCAGTGAATTATAAGTCGCACCAGTAAATGTTAAGAAATTGCTGATCCGAATGGCTAGAAAGCTGAAAAGTTTACGTCACTGGACTGTGACATGCTTAAAAATGAGGCCACTATTTCACTATGTACCTGATGTAGACAGTCTTTTGTGCTGCTGTTATTATAGGACTTATCTTTATAAATAAAACAAGAAAATGACATGCTTTTCAAATGTCTGACATGATCAGAAAATGTCTGACATAGAGACAATTTATGTCAGACGTGAAGCCAGCCTGATGCTATGAGCTCAATATCTTTACATTTGGATAAAATCCACTTTTTGGTACTTAAAATGACCACTCACTCTTGGGAAAATGGACAGGTTTTCATTAAATTTATACAAATGAAACATTGCTTGCTTTCCCTGCCACACGTTTGATTAAACACTCCTTTACAAGATATTTCATAAATTTTTGTTAATATATCTCATTTCTATTGTATTAAAATTTAAAATTTAAATGCTTTACCTTTATAAATTAATGCAATAGTATTGAAAATATCATCAGATGAATACAACTATATTTAAACAACGGCTAGCGCGTAGAACAAAAGACGTTCTGTATTCCACATGCAATCACGTCAGGTACGAGTGCGTTACTCACTAGCTGATAAGGGCCAACACTCTACCAGGGCGAGTGATAGATTTTTTACAGATATTCACAGATATGTCTCTAGCTAGATAGATGGTCATTTAGGGCGGAACTCACCCTGTTGAGGAATCTCAAGCCTGATTACATGGCTGATAATTGTTTGCATAACTGCTCAGGCACTGCCACTTAGCAGTTCCAGTCTAAGTCTGCATGACAGCAATCAAGACAGTTAATTACTTCTGGGACTGACTTTGGTCAAGGGCGTTATAAATGTATGTTCAGCCTTGTCCTTGATCGTCCAACACAGGACTAAGTGACCACAAGGCCCCCTTGAGTCAAATATCGCAACAGCAGTGTAGTAGCCGGTGTTTAAGCCAGATACAACACTCGTCGCCGAGCTGTACGTAAAAATAACATGTATGAATATTATATCACAAGGACAGTGTGGAGACCGTGGTTTAAGCCAGATACAACACTTGTCGCCGAGATGTTTACAGTGAAAATTACTCGCGTGTTACAGTCGGAATATATTTCACGTACAGCTCGGCGACTTGTATTGGATCTGTCACACCATTTGCCACACCTGTAAGTATCATAATATGTGCCTTGATCTATGACACCCCTATTTAATTACACATGGTGTACAAAGAAACTGGCAACTCACCTATAAATTACTTGGCCATTTAACATCGTTATGCTGTTAACAATGCAAAGACCAAATTGGGATGTGGTCTGGGTCACTTAAGAAGTGGACTATACTATGATCTGGCCTGTGACATATATAATCGACGAAAAATGTCTACCCACCCTTCTAAAATCAGCGCCATTTTGATGCATGAGACGTATATACACTCACCTGCCTGTTGGTCACAAAAACAAAATCGGTATGGATCCTGTTTTTTTAGCAGGTAATACAAGGTATTGCAGATACGGCAGCTTACCTTAATAATGTTGTTCCCACCTGAGATCCCTCTTTCGCTGCAACGACAACGCCCGCAGTTAACAAAATAGGTATATGTATTAATTTTGAAAGCACACCTGGATGTCCCGTTGCGAAAACAACTTTGACCTACGTCATTGTTATACAAATGAATTCAGCTGATCTGGGGGTCGATTTAGTGGAAGTCGCTCATTCTTGGAAGAGATTCGTTTCGCCGAAAAGAACTACATCGTGGAGTTCTTTTATCCAACGTTTCAATCCACGTTATGTCCAGTTAAGGTAAGTTTTGCCTGATTCTGTTATATTTACTGACGTACGAATTAACCATTGACCCTATTTGCACGTGGATAACGCAGTCTGACAACACAATGGACATAAGCAGGTTTTTCGGTTAAAGTCACGTCATGTAATTCATATTGTGTTTTTAAATACATATTTAAATGACGGGTCATAATGATATAAAGTGCATGACAAAGGCCTACAAAACGTATTTTAGACCCCGTTACAATACATAGATCGATCTAGCAAGATCCACCCAGATCCAACGGGTTTCTCGCTAAATTGCATTCAGCTTCAGTCATTTAGATGTCTAGCACGCCTACTGAAGTTGTTTAACGATAGTTGTTTACCCCCTAATAGCTTCAGTAGGTGTGTCAGATATCAGAGCCGCTTAAGCGGAATGCAATTAAACGAGAAACCCTTCGGAGATGGGTCGATCTTGCTATGTCGATCTTGGTTAAGAAACGGGGTCTTACTTTTATTGCAATATACTCAGATATTGCTGTTCTGGATTCAATCTCTTTTTTTTTCGCCGACCTCAGTTTCTGGGGGAGAATCATTGCTTTTTCTTTGAACAAATGATGTTGCCCAACAGATCGCGTGGTAATCTAGATGTACATTACACTTATACCACGTGATCGTAATGCATTGACACATGCCTTTTGAAGTTTTGCAGCAGAATGGCGAATAATGTAGCACGTCGAAATTGAATCATTGTTTAAGCCCCCAGCCTATTTGCTCCCTTTTGTAAAGTGAGGGTCTCAACAAAACGCATAACAACAATAAAACCACCAGGGGGTGTTAGTGAACTAGTAGGCTATATCTTCACCCTCAGCAGAACTAGAATAGTCCTATCTGCGATTTAAGTCAGTCACATGTATGTTAAGATTCACAAATACAAGTGTATATGCTTGTTGGGTCCAAGATATATAATATGACGACATATAACTCCTCTTTTCAATGCACAACGCTTGTCGTATAATCGATTGACCTTGACTGTATTGCCATAGTGATAACCAAGGTGACAAAGAGACTGACTCGGCTGTTACCTTGATGGGTCAATGGATCTGAACACAACACAGATTTCGTGCTAAACTTTAGAATACCACCTCATTGTAAAATTTTCAAAATAAACTAGGTACATGTATAGTTCTATTTCAAGACGGATTTCTTAAAATCGACCTATGTGCATTGTTCATTCATAGAAGGTTGTGCAACAAAAACTCTGACTTAGCACATTAAAAATTTAAAATAAAAGGGTCTAGAAACAGCCACCAAATCATTCTCAAACCAAGGTCAGTAAAGGTGCCCATTCAACCCTAGGCAATATTGTGCCGTTAGTCGTTTATTTTAATATAAATAATTTAATAATTAAATTTTGAAAAAGATCTTTGCTTATGTTTTTACATGGCATGCCCAAGTTCAGATCCCTACTTACATGTACGCGTCCCACGTTTGGTAGACGACGACGACCTTCGATTAACAGCTACTTCATCAAGACTGGTGATTACAATAAAAAATATTTGCTGCGCTCCAAAGTATAATAACATAAAACTGTTATTGGGCATAAATTTTCGATTACTTATCAACAATCTAAAACAGGTATTTACAATGAAATAACAATTACAAGGTGGGCGAAATTACCCAACCCACAGGAAACATACGACTTTGTAGTGGCAAACTGTAATATGCATCGAATTGATTAATGAATAAAACTGACAGTTTATATCCTCAATTACATGTACAAAACTGAATTGAACAATTGATATCAGTTTTTAGCGTCGCGTTCACAATGAAACTATCGTGCTAGGTAGCTCGAACCAACTCAACAGGGATTTTTGCTAAATGCCTTTAGGTTTACAGATTAACACACATCCTCTCGTTTCCAGCGTGCTCGTTCAACTTCCCATGCCCTAGTCAAATTGACACATAAATTACTACAGGAGGACTTGAATCATCCCCCACAACAAAGTCTTATGCTCAGGTGTGATTCTTAAATTTTACTAAGGCTTTCAAAAGGATTGATCACAATATGTAAATGAAAAAAAAAAAATAGAAATTCAAGTGATACCAGACTTTCTAAGAAGTTGGATTTATTCCTAAATTTCTTTGCGAGTAAAATGCAGTAGCTTTAAATATGATAGGTCGGAGGAGTGCTTCAGGGTGCTAAATTAGGCCTAATATAACTCTTTTCCTTGCAATGATCAATGACCTGAAAAACTTGTTGTCCAGATGTTGATGATACTTCCATTTACGAAATTTGCAAATTCGGCGAAACACCACATCTGTTGTTTTATAATTTAAAGTTTATTGTCGATTTTCTTTTAAACATACTTTGTACAACTTCAACCGTAGGTTTCCAATTTTACCTAATAAACTATTATTATTATGATTATTATTAGTATTATTATAATCACCATAATCACCAGCATTTTTGTATTACTCTCAAGGCCCAGAATCTTTTAATCTAATTTTTGCTCAGATAATAGTACATTTTCTCTTTTTTAAAAAACGAGGACCCATTCACATCTTTATCATTTTTAGGTAAATAACTGAAAACACAAAATACTTGGAAATACGAGGCGGTAGCAGCAATGGCAAACATAAGTGACATAACTCTAGACACCATCGAGTCTTTGAATGACTCCGTGGAGGCCTTTGATATTTGCGAGCGTTTTAAGATATACTCTGACGACATTGAAGATCTACAGGATCTAAAAGAAAGGCTTCGCTTACATGTCGAGGCAGAACACTCTCAAGTTCCCAGACTGGAAAAGGTATAGTCTATGTCTTTCTTTTAATCAAATATACTCACGTTTACTTTTGTTTTGTAAACATAGAGGCCATTCAGAATAGAAGACCCGAGGATCTTCTGATCCACGGATCAAATATGGCGGACTCTACATGAAAGAAGACCCGACTAATCCGCTAATGGTTTCCCGGTCTCCACAATTGGCGTCCATGAAGGGGTCCAGCAATTAAACCTTGGGCTCGTGATTTAATCCGTTTAATGGCGCGTGTGGAGGCGGGGAGCCTATCTGCGGATTTCTCGAGTCTTAATTCTTTCATGCAGGGTCCTCCATATTTGATATGTGGAGCAGTTGATACTCGTTTTCCTTCTACTAGTTGGGTATATTGTATATATTGTTGGACGCCAGGGTGCAAAAGTCTCTGTGTATGTTTTTATAAATATGTAATTTTAGGCTGCTGATGTTTTCGCTGAACTACGAGAGAATGATACGCAAAGAAGAAATGCACTTCAGTCGATCTTTAAAACCATTGAGGAGTCCCTACCATTACTTGACTTGAGCATCTTGAAGAGGCTGGAAGCTGAGAATGTTGTATCTGAGAGCGCAGACACAAACGTGCGTAAAAGGATCACCATGCTCGAAACTGGTAACTGCCCAATACTTGTAGCAGGTAGGAGTTATTAATCAAACAACTCATTGTTTATAATCAAATTATTGGGCACTTAATACTCTTCCTCTGCTAATATGTCATTAAAATTATATATACTATTGAGCTCAGAATAAATTAGATGTTAACAAAAGTAACATTTTTTTATCACTTAACTGGTAGCGATATTTTTTTCATTTATGAATGGATTGTATTACATGAACACAATACATGTTTGCTCACTGTGTTATCGTTAGCCAGTCGTTGAGCTACCCACTGGAGCATGGGGTGTTATCCCCAGACATGTCAGCTTTAATACCTTATAATTATTGCTGTTCACAAGTGAACGGACGAATAACAACCTGGAGCGTTTTTCTGAGCTCAACCATGTGCAGTTGTAAAAGGGAACACACTCACAATATCCGATGATAACACACACATGCATACGCATATTCCATAATAAATACATGTATTATATCCATATGATGTTTCTAGATTGGGTCATTAATTTTTAATTTTTTATTCAATCAATTCTATTCGCATTATTTTATCGGTTCATTCATTTATGTATTCATGTTGATTCACCGTATAGATCTTGGTAATAATAGAAGTATAAATATTTTGATGCATCTAGAAAGATCTACATAATAGTTGTTGAATACAGTCCGAGCTTTCGGCCCCTGGGCCTTCTTCGGGGAATATGAACAAAAAGTAAAAAAACAAACTCCTAGGATACGTGACGTCGGTGATGTGTTGAAGACATGCGATGGCCCAAAAGCGTGCTATACGTAAACAACGTCAAAATTACGTAACAAAGAAAAAAATCAATACATATTTAAAAAACCATTATCCCTATTGAGTCCACTATTCAAGGTGTTTAGTGTTCTTATAAATTTCTGTTCGGCGATCCGTCTTTGTCTAGTGTCGTTTAAGTTTCCTTTTAGAACGGTGACAGTGATGTCATTAACTGAGTGGTTCGGCGTGTTGAAGTGCTGTCCCACTGGTACGAAAAGGTTTTTGTTGTTTACAGTGCAGCGGTGGTGTCTAATTCTGTCTTTTAATTTCTGGCTTGTTTCTCCGACGTACATTTGATGGCATTTTTTACATCTTATCAGTAGATGACGTTCTGAGAGTCGCAGGTGTATTTTCCCCTAGGGATGAGTGTCTTGCCTCCCGGAGTGATGATGGGGTTGTTAATGATGCACGGGCAGAGAAGGCATCTTCTGTTGTTGCAAGGAAATGTGCCCGTAACGCCAAGGCTGTTATTGTTAACCAGGAGTTTTTTTCAGATTAGATTTAAAATCCCGCGCTATCCTTTTAAGGTGGTAAAGGGCGGGATTAAAGGTAACTACTAAAGGGACCCTTTCGTGGGTGTCCTTTCTTTGGTATTGGAGAAGATCTTTTCTTGGGATTCCATTAGCTTTACCCATGGTTTCTTTGATCATTTGTGTGTCATACTGCCGTCTTTCAAAAAGCTTTTGCAAATCTGTAAGCTGTTCACTCTTCTTTTCGGGTTCCGAGTTGATTCTATTATATCTTAAGGTCTGGCTAAACACAATGGATTTTTTGATGTGTGAAGGGTGAAAGCTGGTGGGATGTAGGTAGGCCGAGCGGTCCGTAGGTTTCCGATATGCACATGTAGCCAGTCTATTGTTTTTTCTAAAGACAGTTGTATCCAGAAAGTTTTGTTGTATGTTGGAATAGTTAAGAGTGAGGCGTATCGACGGGTTTTCATTATTGAAAAGCTCTACAAATTTTTTGAGGTAATCTTCTCCGTGTGTCCATATAAGGAAAATGTCGCCAATGTATCGGACGTAGAATGTGGGTTGTTTTGGGGTCTTGCCTAGGACAGATTCTTCTAAGTTAGCCATAAACAGGTTGGCGTATTGAGGGGCCATTCTTGTGCCCATGGCCGTTCCTTTTACCTGCAAAAGAAACTCGTTTTCCTTGTCGAATTGGAAATAGTTGTGATTAATTATGGAATCAGTGAGTTTTGTGATTGAATCAGGCTGTTCAGTCTTATGTTTACTATTTCTTAAAGAATTTTCAAGTGCTTGGATACCATCTTGATGTGGTATGTTAGTATAAAGGGCTACTACGTCCATGGTAACTAAAAGCGTATTATCGGGTAAATTTTCTACCATTTGGATCTTTCTTAGAAAGTCGGTAGTGTCCTGGATAAAACTCTTAGTATCCCTGACGATAGGTTTAAGATCTCTTTCAATTAATTATAACCCTGATATGCTTTCTGTAAGTGTGCCGATGCCAGAGATGATGGGTCGTCCGGGATTTCCTTCCTTATGGATTTTAGGCAAGATGTAAAAAGTACCAGGTTTAGGATCAGTCGGTATCATTTTAGTCGGAAGCTGTTGGTCATTGTGTGGAAGCCCCTTAATGAGTTGATTCAGCTCTTTTTTGAAAGCGTTAGTAGGATCCGTATTGAGGTAGGAGTAGTACGCTTTGTCATTTAGTTGGCGGTATACTTCTGTGTTGTAGTCGGTTTTGTCCATGATGACTGTAGCTCCGCCTTTGTCTGCTGGTTTGATGACGATATTTTTGTTTTCTTTGAGGGAGCGTATTGCCTGGCGTTCCTTAAAACATTAGTTATACAAGGACTTAAATTGCTTTCCCAGGATGTTGGACCTCATTCGGTGACGAAAACTTTCGATGTACCGGTCCAGTTTACTGTTCCGGCCAGGTGGTGGAGTCCAGTTTGAAGTTTTCTGTTTCGTGGAGAGGTTCTGTATATCTTAATGGTTGACTTCTTTATTGTGGAAATATTCTTTGAGGCGTAATCTTCTGAAGAAATCTTCCATGTCTCCGCAGGTTTGGATAAAATCAAGTTTTGTTGTCGGGCAAAAGGATAGACGCTTGTTAAGTACGGATAATTTACGTTGTTTACGTATAGCACGCTTTTGGGCCATCGCATGTCTTCAACACATCACCGACGTCACGTATCCTAGGAATTTGTTTTTTTTACTTTTTGTTCATATTCCCCGAAGAAGGCCCAGGGGCCGAAAGCTCGGACTGTATTCAACAACTATTATGTAGATCTTTCTAGATGCATCAAAATATTTATAATTCATTAATGTATCAAACATTGCTTTTTACATATGTATTTGTTTGTTTATCACTTTGGCCTTATTATATATATATATATATATATATATATATATATATATATATATATATATATATATAATGTAATGCAAAAAGTGCTTCGTCAAGGCATTGTTACCAATGTGTTATGAAGGCTTTATCATATTATTTTCACTTCCAAGGTTTTTCACATTCTAGGCGAAACTTCTTCGGGGAAGAGCACGCTTTTGAACCTTCTCCTTGGCAAAAAGATCCTACCGGAAGCCCATTTAAGCTGCACAGCAGCGATCACAAGAATAAAGTATGGAGAAGAACCTAGAGTATTCAAAGTGACACACCAACCTGACGGCAGCAAGAAGTCGTCGGAAGTCCCCATAAAGAAGCCTGATGATTTGTGCTCGGCTTTGGAGCCTGTTCTATTCCCTAAGGGTGCAGCGAGGGAGGATGAACAGGAAAAGTGCACCGTTGATGTTTATTTGCCATTTGAACTGTTAAAGGTAATGACGTATTTCATAAAGACAGGGCATATGGAAAATGATGTATAAATTGTGTTTCTTAAAGATCTACCTCTATGTACGTGTAAAATTGTGACATGAAATTAAATTGGAAACTGGTATATACATGTATTTTCACGGAAAATTGCTAAACTTTATGTCAAAGGTATGATGCCTTCATATTAAGTATCCACAAAATACATAAACAAAATCGTATTATACCGTTAGAGTGGTGTGTATATCATCGACAGCCCTGGTATTGGTGAGAGTGGTGTCATGGATGACGTGGTTCTTGACTTTATTGCCAACAATGACGTCTTTGCCTTCATTTATGTCATTATGACTGATAAGTCAGGCGGAGTACAAGAAGATAGGGTAAGTAAACTGCACTGATATTGTATTCAAAGCTTTTCTCAATTCTCCAATAATATTGCTGGCAATAAACTTGTGCAGTTTCCCCCAGACAAAATTGCATTAAAAGCATGTTAGTGTGTATTGCTTAAAAATTTTCAAATCAACATAAAGTTGCGAAGAACCCTTGCGGGGTGAACATGAACTTCCTTTAAGTGACCACCAGTCACCATACCAATATATGCACCCTTTTACTCCCTTGTTAAAATAATGGAATATGGAATATGGAAAACAAGATATGATTTAATTTCAAAGTTCACCGTAATAATTGTCAGAAACATGAACACAGCTTAACTATCGCCACAATGGTATAAGTGTAATAATTACCTTCTTAACACACAAGAGCTGATTGGATTTAATTACCTTATGGTTATGTAACATATCTGATCACACTGATGGGTCATGTGCATTTTTCACTCGGAGTTGGAGTCGCATGTCAGTTTTGTCTAGTGCTGTTATAGGTACTACTACTATATACTTTCACGCAGTCGGGCGTCTAGGGCACCGACAAAGATCTCCCACTGCGCTCTCTCACGAGCTAGGTGTTGGATAATTCCCCGGGTTTCCCTCAGTTGTTTCAGCCTCCGTGTGGTCTTAGGTCTGCCTCTTTTTCTTTGTCCCTCTGGTGTCTAGTACATGGTTACTTTTGTGGTGAAACTTGGCCAATCCATTTCCATCTCCTTTTCCTGATGACTTTACTAACGCTTCTCCGGTTGGTTTGTTTTAACAGATCTTCATTGGATACAGTCCTTGATTTGTTCGAGGCTTGAGGTGTGAAAAGTAGATACTGTATCTTCCTGAGATAAATCGTAATATCATCCAGCGGTAGGTCAAAGAAATATGTGTGATCAGTCATCGGCAGTGGTTTCCCACCTAAGACTACAACCTGGAAGGATCGTATGCTCTACCAGATGTGTAGTCAAAGAACAGTTGTCAGATTTTTCTCAGAGGACTCAGAGAAAATTTTCTTCACCTAACAGAAGAAACCACATTACAATGGACCCATATATTTCATTGCCTTCACTGCCTTCACGTGTGTTACTAAGTGCACGTTTGGTTTTCTGATAAAATGTAGTTGATTTTTTATAGTACTGATATAAGACTCCTTGTTCCATGTCAATTTTGGGATACTAGTAGGTTTGCTAAATACTTTTTGGGTTAAAACTTGCCAACGGTGGTAGTCATAATGAAGGTCGAACCATCATCAGACCAAGCCCACTTTGGTCTTTTTTCTATTTCAACAATCTTCATTGGGATCAAAGAACGCAACAATTCTTCAATGGCCTATCGGGCAAATAGACAAGCCTGCCTTTTCTCCTTGTTCGAATCCCATAGAGCATTTTTGAGATGCTCTAGGCTGTGCAATAAGAAGGAAAGAGGACTGGCCAACTAAACGGGATGAGCTGAGGCAGGCTTGATCAGGCTTTTGGTCAAAGTGTATATAAAACACTCATAAACTAGCCGTGTTCACTAGAAGCTTTTCTGATTTCATTTTTTACTGTTTAAAATCCTAAACGGCCACCAACAGTCAGGAATAATATCTTCGCTAAATTGACTTAAACATTTTAATAATTTAAAAATAATATTTGTTTTCAAAAATTACTTTCAGCTCACTTCCAACACGTTCCATTTAATCTAATATGTGTGATAGCCTTTTCTTTCTCGTTTGAAGATGAGAGAATAAATGAAATGGTTTCAAGTGTGCAAAGACCATATGATAGCATCTGCTTTATCTGATGTTCTTTCCGTAGCTCCAAAAATTGCTGCGGCAACTTCAAGATATGAAGGATACTGCTGGAGAGCCAATATTTGACCCTGGCTGTGCTATTTTTGTCTGCAACCGCTGGGATCTTGTGCCAGGGTACGCAAGGGAAAAGGCTTTAGAGAATGTGCGTTTGGCAGTGAGTGAGGGCTGGAACCGGCCAATGGATTCATCAAAGCAGATATTTACCCTTTCTGCTAAAATGGCGTGGCAGCACAGTCAGGCTGGGTACATGACTCACGACTACAGGCGACTGGTCAGAGGCATCAAGGGCCTGATTCCAGTGAGTTTGCAAAGAAGGACGGAGCATGTGCACCGGTGTGTTTCAGTTTATTTATTTATTTATTAAAGTAAACTCATTCCGCGTTCCTGAGTAATAATACGACACCCAATTTAACATTGTGTTAGCAAACCATATCTATATGTACATGTAATGTGCGTTTACATTTATGTATAGCGCGCAAATTTTGAGCCAGTTCCTGGGGCTGTTTCAAATATTTTTCATAATAGAGGTTATTTATACTATGTTTATTTTAGCTGGGGCAAACATATGGTAGAGCGCACTATAGATTGTGCTGAGCAGTATCTTCATTCTGCCAATTTGACTAGGGATGAACTTGAAGCTCAGCACAACTCACAGAAGAAACGGCTGGACAGACTTGAGAAAAAGTCGGAAGAAATTTTGAAAAAACTAGACGAACATCTTTATAAAGAATGTGAAACCATTACTGATTCTTTATCTAAATATCTTGGCAGCGATCCTGTCTGTGATCGAGTTACCTCTTGGACCAATGCCGAAGCTCCTTATGGGATTAGTTGGAACTATTTAGAAGGAAGAATAGAAGATGCCATCTGTAAAAGAATCATTGATGCCATCAGGTCTTGGGAAACAGAAGAAAAGCATTTTGAAACTCTGAAGAAAGACTTGTTCAAAAAATTCACGAGAGAATTCCAGTTAATTGAATCTGAGCTGCGCATGATTGAAAACATGCTGGAACGGTCCTCGGAAACAGATTCCAGTGAAAGTAGAGATTTGGCGGCCTACATGGAATTACAAGACCTAATGGACAATGAGGTGAACAAAATGTCAATTGTAGACTTTAACCTAGGTGAAAAAATTGCACTCGGCTTATTTTCACCAATCATTTTACCCATTGGTGCGTTGGGTATGCTTCTTGCGTCACCGGCATTTCTTTTTGTTGACGTAAAAAAACATGTAAGGAAGAGGAAAGAAAAACAAATCTTAAAACAATATGACCAGAAGAAATGTGAATTTCTTCGAGACAGATCATCCGAGGCTTTGAAAATAATGGCTAAGCGTGATGTTACAAAGGCCTATGTCGATGCTCAACTCCAAGAAGCCAGGGATCATCTACAGATGATGCGCGAGTCCATTCCACAGCTTATATCATCAACAAGAAAGTACATGCAGTCCATTAAAGAAGACCAACGGTCTAAGGAGCAGCTCATCGACACCTATGACCCTGTTGTCAAGAAGTTTACCAGAGTTAACCGTGCGCTGGAAGATTTTGCTATTACACATCTTTTCTCGTACGATTATAACGAGACAGATGTGGAAGCAGACATCAGACTTGTTAAAGGGCCAACGTCATATAAAGGAAACTGGACTGAAGTTTTCTCTGCCATCTTAAAATCTCCAAAGGGTCCGTCCCTCAAAATATCTGTAAAACGATATAAAGGGGCTACATGTGAAAAGCAAGTACGTGAGGATATCATTGAAATGAGGTGTGTAGAAATAAGAAGTTAACTCTTTTTTGTCTTAAACATTCTCTATGCTTACTTCAGTTTAGTTTTTTCTTTCTTAATCGTAGAGATTTATGGCTGGCACCATACATTAAATAGGACATAACACAAGGACAAATTATTTTTTCCAGAAAAATGAAGCAACAAAAGAGGAGATTCATTCCCACCATACTGGGTACTTATTTGGATCCAACAAGTGAATTGCCATCTCTTATCTTGACCCCGCGTTTGACCAGTTTGAGGGTCCTCAGCAGTGGCAAGGGCAGTCGTAAAGTCCTACCGGGTCAGCTGGTCCATTGTTTACTCAAAGAACCGATAGATTGTCTTATCCAACTGGCGAACGCCTTGGCCTACCTGCACAAGAATGGCTTCGTCTGTCTGGATTTGTCTATGGATACAGTTATGATTACCGTGAGTATTTATAAAAAAGATATATCAACTTTTATCTTGAATTCTCCTTTCTCTTGTGATTTAGTTTGATTTTGTTGCTTTTTGACATAGAGCGCAAAGAGCATTACAAGAAACAAATAAACAGACGTGAACCCACAGCCTTGTACAAGATATGGTGTACAGGTATCAGGACAATCCCCCCGGACAATTACCCCCTGGACGATTCCCTTGGTCAATTCCTCCCTGGACAATCCCCCCCCCCCGGATTACTACCCCCCCCCCGAAGAATAAATAATTATATTCAAATATAAAGTAAAGAGTATGAAGCTCAAATCTTTTCATCAATTGCACAAATTATTTTCATGTAATACAAGTACAGAAAGAGTGTCGCTTTGGTCTGACCTCTGATGACAGACGGGTACTATGCTGGCAAACTGCTGGTAAAGCATTTGAACCACATGCACTGAATTTTCGAACCCGGAGCAGCATATTCATCATGGTGTGGGGCTGCATCAGCATCCATGGCTTGGGCGAATTGATAGTGGTTAATGGAAACACGAATAACTAGAAATATATCGATGTTTTGGAGTCAGGCTTGCTACCATCTATTACTAATATGTTTGGTGAAAGGAATTATCCATCTGTTCACCAGGATGACAATGCTCCTTGTCACAGGCCCAGAGCAGTTGATGATTGGTTTGACCAACAGGACATTCGCAGGGTGATGTGGCCTGCCCAGAGTCCGGATACAAACAAATTAGAAAATGTGTGGAATGATATGTCAAAACTTTTTACAAATGCCCGTCTAACCAGCAGAGAAACTCTGTTCTAATCAGTGCTTCATGCTTGGGCCAGCATAAGCCCTGAACGCACCAGACAATTAAATGAATCCTTGCTTCGTAGACTGGCACCTATTATTAGGTCACGTGGCTATGCCACTAAGTAGTAATTTTGGACTTGAAACTACATATTTTGGTAGAATGTATATTTTGTTCCCATTTTGTAATTTTTTGTGAAATTTGATGTTAATAAAATGATACCAGGATCATATCATTCCACAGTCATTTATCTCCCCCATAGTATTGGCTCAGTAGGGGTGACACTTTTTTTGTCCAGTGTGTGTAGAAATTTTACACATACCTGTTTACACATATACCTGTTCACTTAGGGGAGTTAGGTCACAATAGTTCATGCACATTAACTTCACGGTAGCACTTGCTTAATCTTCTTTTTTTTCTAACGTGACTGGCGTACTCTTTCTCCCTATTTTACTCAAGAGGAGGCGTGTTAGTCTGTTAATCTGATTACATTCAGCGAGGGTCCCCGAGGAGTAAGTGCCCATAAGCTGTTGCGACCAAGTTCATTCTGAACGATCCCTTATATTTTTATAGGCTGGGAGGGATAAAACCGTGAAGTTAGTGAACATCAGCAAACCTGTCACGATGCCACCCCCAGATCCCAACTCCACCATAGGGTCTATGGTTTATCTCCCCTACAGCGTCCTCGATGGCACCAAACCTTACGATGCTGATGCCAACATCTACGCCCTTGGGCTCATGATGTGGGAGGTATGGCATATTGAACATGCTTACAAAATTCACAGAGATCTTGTAGTAAGCGTCTTTTGTGCTGGAATAAGGCAGGGCAACTTCCCTCTGAAGTTTGAAAGTGGTAAAATGGATCCGACCTTGGAGGCATGTTGGGAGAAGACCATGAGGGCTTGTCTCTCCTGGGAAATAGCCATAAAAGACTGCAAAGATCGGATGCATGGAATACAGGATTTACTGAACCGAAAAGAAAGTACTGTGTGATGGTGTTAATTGTTATCAAACATGTTAACAAATGCCTTTTCTGGAACGGCAGAACAAGTAACCATATTTTTATTAAATGGGCACGTATTTAATATAGAGTACTTTGATCTTTAAATATGATATTTATTAAAGAGAGTATGCAATGTAGCTGTTGATTTAATTTCCTAGATTTTGTCCATTGACTTGTACACTAGTATTTTTCACATAATAACGTTCGTATTTTCAGTAATATTCTTTGGAAACACATATATAATGTTTTTATCTAGAAAAACTCTAACTGCTAGAAACCTACGCTAGCTTGTGTACAGTGAAGGCATTTGGTTTCGTATGGAGATAGACACGCAACTTTAAGACTTAGTGCATTGTATATGATTAGCATACATCCTACCCTTATATAAATCGCAATATTCAGCAATGATGTAATGTTTTGTTTGTTTATGGGAAATGCTTTTTAAAAATTTCATTAACTCAAGAAAATATTCACTGCAAATATTTAAAGAAGGAACCTAGCAATTCGAAACTATTGGTGTTTTTCAAAAACGATTCTAGCACTTTCATCGTAATGAAAATCAATTACTATTGTTTTGTTGTTTTAGTGAAATGGATTTTACAGTCAACGACTATGATCCGAGTCTTATTTCAATGAGCCAGAGTGTGTGGATAAAAGAATCAAATAGTGCAACGAACGAGAAGTAAAAAATAGTAACATAAAGATTAAAATCATTATTTTATGTTGGGATGAAGAGAATTAAAATAGTTTGATTGAGCGCTTATTATTCGCTTTTAATGAATACTTATGGAGAAAATAATAATAAAATATATTATGTAAAAACGTAAAACATACTACCATTACCAAAGAAGTGAAAGTAGACTGAAGAGAAGACTAGAATGTAAAGTTTTGGGAAACCAGAGAAAATTTTTGATGCATCGATGTATGGGAATGTGACATGATAAGAGTTATTGTAATAGTAAATTAAGGCTGCAGGAATAAACATTTGGGTAACAAAACAGTATACGTTCTTCCTTTCTACTGGAGCGTGGAAAATTTACATATTACTATGCTTAGTTGCTAGAATCATTTGGGTGTGTATGTGTGTGTGTGTGTGTGTGTGTGTGTGTGGGGGGGGGGGGGTCAGGGGCAACCGCCGTGCTGGGAGGTGAAATCGGTGCCTACGGTATCACGGTCTCTTTTTGTCGTTTGGACTGGCTTAGATCGCTGCCGAACGTTGTCTAAGGTCGGTGGTCGAGGATTAACTGGCTTTGGGTGACTCGTTTTGCTGGGTGGGTGTGGGGTGCTAAGTTTGATTAAATACAATCGAAAAAACGACTCTGTCACTGAGAAGCTAGTGTCGTTTTTGACGAAGTGTTCTTTGTGTGTATGAGGGAGGGGGGGGGGGGGTGAGGAGAGGTGAAGGCGTGACCTGCGATGCAACACTTCTGTCTGGAGTAAAATTTTAGTTTATATAATTTTTCATTAAAAAATTTGAAAAAAAAATCCTGTTTGTCGAAAAAAAAAATTTGGTTTTCGAAAAAGGAACCTGGCACCCAGAAATTCATTTACTTTTTCAAAACGATTGTGGTAACCAGACACTATATGTAACGGTCCTGACGCTCAGAAACCAGAATCGGGAGTGGACGGAATGAGGTGCGACCGACGATGGGCGTTTATCTCCACAAAATGAAAGAAAACCCAGTACCTACGCGCATTTAACTTCTTTAGTGGTTCCTATAGCCAGTATCGCTCAAGGACAGCGAAATTATAAAATTGCACATTTCCACGTAGTCTGTGACAAGGCGACAATTTATCGTATAAACACTGCGATCTGAGCGGTGCGTGAAGAAAACCCTATGGTGCGTTATTATCTTCGATTTAAACAAACTGAAATAAATAAATAAATGAATAAAAATGGCATGTTATCTGTTTACTGTGGCCACTGTTGAAGAACGAAGTTGTCCAGACTACAATTCTGTGCCGTCAGTTTGGTTAACATGTTTTTGTTATGGGTTATGAGTCCCCATTTACAGATTTGCGTTAAACAAAGGCATTGTTTTTCTTTATCAACGATAAAATCTGAACTAAGAATTCTATGAAAAATCGCTGGCAGGGTTTGCAGTACTAAATAGTGTCATTAAAATGGCGTTAAAACGGTGATCGTGGGTGCTCAGGTTTAAGATAAATTTGAGAAACCAATTTTTCAGTTTTTACCCCCAAATCGTGATTATTACGTCACCTGTTAGATGACATATGTGTAAATGTCACTTAATTAAGGCACTGGACACCGATGATTCATTCATTACCCAAAAGAATGTATGTAAGGCAGTAAATAAGGAGTTTGGGGCAAAGGGTGACGATAACCTTAAGATCACAAAGAGGAGCTGTACAATCGAACTGCACACAAAGTCTGACTTGAAAATCGATTTTTAGCGTGTTGTAAGTAACACAGCAGGCCAATTTTAGTAACTGTTTCCTTATTTTTCAACAAATGTTTTATAAAATGTGTCACTTTGACGTATAGATTTCACTGAGTTGTCTTATAACTGACCATTCTTACTTTTGGGTTACAGGTCGGCTACATGATTAATGGAGTCAAATACATGTTTCAGTAAATTATTCACTTGAGAGCCATTATCAATCTTAAAGGACAATGGTCATATAAAAATCCATTTCTCGAAATTTGAACATTCAACACTCAATCTATACACTAGAGGTATGTTTTAATCTATCCCCGCCATTTAAAAATTATAAAAACAATCTATTAGTAGTAAAAAAGCGTTTTAGTAAACCTCACCTCAATATGCATAAATGAAGCAACAGATCTGGGTCACGCGGTACTGTGACGACAATTGGGATAAAGGTCTATGAGACTCAACTGAGCTGCATGGTGCAAACAGACAGAATAATTTTGGAAAGTTGTGTTAAACGGAGTTGAGCAATTTTCTTTATGCCTCAGTGTGTTGCCGTGGGATTTACCAAAATTGCAGCACTCCTTGACTATCTTTCTTTATCTGTGACGGTCTTCCGTGACTAACTTACTAACTTCGGTGACAATAGTTGCGATCTCGGTCACCTCAGGTGATTTAGATCATATCAAAAGCTGATAGTCTTTAAGATACTGTCATCAGTTGGCAAGCTTACTAATTGCTGATGCATTTTTAAATTCATTGTAGTTGACCAAGAGCTCGTTAACAATAAAACCTGTTAATTATGCACCGCTGCAATTCCCAAGCCAGGTAATAACAGGTATGAAACTCGTCTTGGTGGGCTTTCATATTTTTCAATATATCTCATTTATTTCATGGGGTTATTTTATTGGTATTTGTAAATGACGTTAAATATCAATACTTAAACAATTAAGTTCAAACACGGTGGCGAACATTAATAAAAGAAATTGCTCTCAAGGTATCTTGAAGCTTCCGTGGAAGAAAACGTGTTGAGGAAAAACCGGAAAAAGAGCGTTATATTAAAGAAAAAA